CAGTAAGTTCGTACACCACCAAGATGTGTGTGTGTGTGTGTCTGTGTGTGTGTGTAAGCCCTAGATGTGTCTTGACAGCCCAGAAATTTAGACTAGTGGCCAGCCTTCTTAGTACAGTATTCATAAATACATTGGAGCTATATTTCCCAAATGGGACAAATTGCCTTTTGTAAAGCATTTTATTTATTTAATATTTACTAGAGGAGGAAATTGAGGCAATATTATGAGTTGTTAATGGTCCTCTGCTGTCACTATCACCATGTTAGCTGTTAAGCATCTTGTATTGTCTTGACATAATATTAAAAGTCACTTCATTTGATTTTTGCTGAAAATGTGGCTTTATATCGGCAACTTTCTGACTGGCCTTAACGCCCCTTCATTATGTGAAAGCTGAATTACCGTGACTGTGTAACACGTGCAGTAACGTGGCTTACACGAGAACTCTGAAACAGAGCGTGCGAGTACAAATATTACAGGTTTTTCAGAGTAGCTAGTAATATTGCTCAGACATAACGGCATCATGATCACGCTCAACGTTTATGGTAGGTAAACCAGGAGACCCTGTCAGCTCAATTCTGTATTTAGAATGTTTGTGCCTCGGCCCAAATGATGACTATATGTACAGTACATTTATTGTAATTGGCCAGTGAGCCACTGTTCATCAAGTGTTTCTTTATGCCAGGTGCTGTTGTTTATGTTGCATTTTTTTTTTTGTTAAAAGTATGTTTGAAATTATTTCTTGTACGGATATCAATTTTTTGACCAATTTGGTTATTTAAATTTGCATGAATTAGTCCTGTGAATTCAAAATGAGGTTTAAGCAGAGAATTTAAATTTCCATGTTAAATAACATTTGATGCCAAAGAAGTCTGGAGATATAAGCACAAGAAGAGCTCAGCGTCCTTGCACAAAACATAATTTTATATGTAAAGAACTCCCACAGTCAAGTGTTGCAATCACTACAGTTTGCTGCTTATTCCAAGAGATTTTGACCAGGACAAAGTTCTGCCATGGATCGTGTGGCCCCATGATGTAAGTTTGTTTTACAATTTTAAGATCATTCCATAATGTGCAGCAAGTGCCTTAATGCAGTGTTCATGTGGAATGTAATTGTGATATTAACTATAGGTTATATTTTACAGTGTACAGGGTGTAACACCCAAGGTTAGTTCATTATTTTTATACCATACTATTGCTGTAAATAGAAAAATGCAGCACTTTATACTAAATATATATATTAACTATGCATGTATAAATTTTCATTTTCTAGTCTTTTTGTTATATTGAGAGAAGAGAAAAGTTTTCATTCCTGTTTCTTGATTTTAATTTTTCTTATTACTTTTAAAACAGTGGGAGTTTTAGTTAGTGTTTGGGGTTTAACAGGAGTGATCTTTTTTCTCTTGAGCAATAACATTTGTGTTCCTAATATAAAAGAAAAAAAAAACTTCAAAAGAGTCCATAAAATGCTCTGTATTTTAATGAAATTATTTGAAGCTAAGGGTTTCCAAAGAATTATGGATTTCCAATTTATTTACTGATTTTGTTTAGTTTGAATAAAGATTACCTAAATTTTACTAACTATATTTGACCTGTCACATCTCTAAACAGAATCCTGAATATAAATAAGGACCACCGAGAATTGAAGTGAGGATAGGAAATATAACAACTAATTGATGGTGTATTGCAAGTATCCAATTGTTTGGAATGAGTTCCTCCTCTGGTTTTCCATTGTAAAGCATCTTAAAAATAACACTAGATAGTTGTCTCTGGTGTTGACCTATGACTTAATCCCTGGGTGGTTCAAGTAATTGTCATGTGTGTTTGCACCAATGATTGCTCTATATTGTAAAGATGAGAAATTGAGTACAGGTAGTTCTGCTATAACGCGATAATTGTGTTCTTGTAAAATATCGTGTTATAGAAAATCGCGTAATAGAAATAACAGGGCTTATGGAGAAAATAGGGTTAGGTGCAGATTATCAAATCGAAAAAATTTAGTAGTTAGCCTAACACAGGATAGCACAGTCTAAATAAATGTTACATTCATATCTAATAATGAAATCATACAGTAAATGTAACACTTTACCTTGAAAAATATGAATGTAACTTGATGGGGAGAAGGGTGATTTTGAGGTTGATAACATCGAGCTTCTCTTCAAGTGTTATATCCTTTCTTTACGATAATCACCGGAATTCTATCATCAGAACGCTTTTTGGAGATATTCTTCTTTACCATAATCACAGTTAATACCACAAAATGGAGAAATAGTAAGCAATCGCGTATAGCAAACAGGCGCCGTGATTATACAAATATTGTTCGTTCATAAATCGCGTTAGAGCAAATTGGGTTATCAAAACACGCGTTATAGCAGAACTCACTGTACAGGTATCCCTTGAGATCTGAACATTCGAGATGGAAAAATTCGTTTATACGAATTTCATAAATTGACACTACAGGTACTATTTTGAGAAGAAAAGCTTCCCCTGCTTATACAGGTTGTACCCCTCTAGTCCGGCAACCTCGGGACCTGACCTGTGCCGGACCATGGAAATTCACCCTCAAAACACCCTACGTAAAGCATAAAAACATAAGATAGGAAATGAATAAATAAGAAAAAGTAATACGGTTAAAATACTATTTCATTTACCTTTAATGCTACCATAATTTTGTATCTCTAGGATTACCTGTACAGTACCTATTAAGTGGATGATAAAAAGGTTAGGTGAGTTAAATTAGGAGGAATATGAGTGAAAATGTTGGAAGGAGTGGAGAAGGCTATAGGAAGGAAGAATGAAGAATAAATGAGAGGAAGATGTGAAGGAACAGAAGGAGAATGTACAGTATAAGGAAGAGGTTGGGGAGAGGCAACAGGAGTGAGTAATATGTCTTCTGTATGCAGCACTTGTCACTAGATTATTATGCAGTACACCAGGCAGATCTCTATACCATTCCAGTCCCACAAGGTGACTCTCCTGGTTTATATTCAGAGATGTACTTCCTAGATATCTCCCAGGTTGTTCTTCATGGATGTCTCCCAGATTGTTCTTTATAAATGTCTCCTGGTTTGTTCTTCATAGATGACTTAAGATGTTTTTCATTGCTGGCTACTATCTTATACTGTAATCTACTTTTAACTGTCAATACTCTGGTGACAGTCTTATTTTGAACCATATTCTACTGCTAACTTAACTGTTAACACTCGATGAAACGGACTATTACCGTGAGCCTTACACTACTGTACTGTTATTTTAAGTGTCAAGATGCTTATGAAATTCACTTTCTTTACATGTATCTGAGCCCAGAGGCACCTCTTGTTGCTCTACTCCCTATGACAAACCTTCCTCTTTATAATTTAATTCTTTCACCTCCCTTGTACCTATATCCTTAGGTAACCTAATACCTTCACTGGTCCCAGAGGTATGCTTATCAAAAATTATTTTAACTGTTATTAATAAACCTGCACCTTCTACAGTACATCACACGATTATTATTAACTACTGTTTGGACCCAGCCTCTGCTCTCTACAATACAGTGCTTAAGTAAAACAAATATTAAACATCCACACTACTTCATTATCATATTCTCCCTTCTTATTTATATATCCCATATCTGTCATCCGTGTAGCTTCATCTGGTCTAAACGGTAGCAAACAGCTTTTAAACCGTAGATCAGGTGTAAATATACCCTGTGTAGTATTTGGGAAACAATGGGTTTTAAAAGTTTGTAATTCAGAATTAGACTTGAGTGAACAGTGCTTAACAATCTTGGCAGGTGACAAAACCCTAGACGACAGCTGTGGTGCAAGAGTCAGTGTGGGTTAATGTGTCAGCGTTGCCAAGTGTGTCACCCCCTGATGATGTGGTCAATACACACAAACGTGCTCATGAAAACCGCATGATAGGTATTGTCTGTTTTGATCCTGTCGGTGATGTGCTCAAGGCCACTCAGAATCTCACCCCCAGGAGTCATATTCTCAAGTTTTACCAAAGACAAAAAAAAACCGAGCATCACGTCAACTTTGAATCATAAACTGGCGTGCGCCTCCTTGGCAGACACACCGAGAACAATCAGGCTGCCAGGGGTATTAATTAGTGGAAGGAAGGTGAGTGTATCTTATTAAATTTGGGTAAAGAATTCAGCAGTTAAAGCTATATCATCCCCGGTGAGAGTTTGGAGAGGGAGATACAGGAGTGTCAGTAACAGGTGGACAAGAAATGGGGTGTCGAGGAATCCTTGGTCACCATCTATGAAGCTGTGGAGGAAGAAAGGGGGGAAAAAGAAGTGTCACAACATATACGATAACAGAAACCAAATTGTTTAAAATACACAAACAAATTACTTGGTGTTTTGACTACATTGTTCTTAATGAAACTTCAAAAACAAAACTACGTACACAGCCGTGCATGATAACATTATAGTCTTTCTCAGCAAATATGTTGAATTCTCGTTCAGGCAAGTGAAGATACGTGAGGGCCGGGCAGGGAGGATGGGTGACTTCCAGCTCCGTATTACAAGATTTATTTTGTATTAATTACAATTATTTGTAGATTTTGCTATTTACGGTGAAGGAATCTTGTGGTTGCATCGGGTTTTTTATTTTATGCCGCTATTTTGTTTGATGGTCGGGAGCTATCCACTTGTACTGTAGTTTGTCATCGGATGTGTTTTTTCATTCTTAATTAAAAAGAATATATATAAACTATTAGTTAAGAACAAAGATTAAATCTGTTGGCAGAGTTCATGCTTCTGCGATATGTGACTTCAAAGTTTAAACATGGGTATGCATCCCAGGCACCCAGCCTATCCCATGGAGGTGCGGGCCACCACACCTCCTTTGCCACCAATCACAGCAATGCTATTATGTGACGTCACATGTCGACTGTCCAATACGGTGATTCTCATATAGGGCGCACACCGGGGATCCAGCCAATGAGACAACGGGAGTCCAGTGATGTAACCGGATGTTTTCTTGACGCAAGCGCGCTCTGAGTCTGCGACTTACCAGCCAGCATGTGTTAGCAGTTAAAATCGATTCGTCTGTCTTTAGTAGTGCTGCTCGTGTCGGCGGGTGAGATAGCGGATTATTCAGTGTGGATTACTGAGCTCGTGTTCAACAGTTTGATATTGTAAATATTTGATTTATGAAAGAGTCCATATGTTACCTGCCAAACATTATTTTGTGAGTCAAAAGGGAAGTACAACAATACAACAAGGGATTATCTGTGCACTGATAATGATGTGCCTCACGTTACTGTGCCAGCCTTAATGATCCAAAAACAAGAAAAGCAGTTACTGTGTAACCTGTGATCCGGAGGACTGGCTTGTTTTGGCTCACTAAGGGCGTTTACATAGTGTAGGGTGTTTGCACCGCTGACTTGGGTTACTTTAGCTTTTTAACGTATAAAACAACTTAAGGAATGAAAGATGATATATTTTTGTGTGAAAATAACTTGTTTAAGATATTGAGTACGCCATCGTAACCTGTGTATTGTCGATGAGCTTCTCCCAGCAAGGAGTTTGGTAAATATCAATGCAATCTGTAGAACACGTGTACATGGCACCAGGAAGTAAGTAATCAGCTGGCTCTGACCTCCAGACTTGATCCTGTATAGGTCATATACACCAATGGTCAAGGTTACACACACATCTTACTGTCGCAGTAACACCATTTTTGTATGTATATATATATATATATATTATATATATATATATATATATATATATATATATATATATATATATATATATATATATATATATATATATTTGGTATACACTTGTGTGGACAATTGGACATTACAAAAAAAGTGACGTGACGCCCAGTCTCAGGTTAATACAGTCGATGACTATGTGTTCCGTACTGATCAATGCGGTTGGCTTGCACAGCTATTTTGTAATTTGGACTTTGTTTTGGCAGTTAAGTTAGGACATCACCCGGTAACTCAAATGAGTGCGTTGCATTATTTACAAGGTAAATTTAACTTTTGAACCCAGATACAGTGTGGGGAGGAATACGGTGTAAAGTGTTGAGGGTTGAGTTTCTAGAAGCACCATTATTAACGACGGGCAAAGCGAATCTAAAAATAATTATCTTACAGGGGTGTTCTATAGATATTTAGGTTAGGTTAGATTAGGTAAGGTTAGGTTAGATTAGACTCGATGTATCTTTGTAGACCACACGCTATAGTAGCACCCTTCCAAGACATTATATTCAGGTGAGGATGATTCGTTCTCAATGGCATATACTGTACTCATAATCTTGCCGGGTGTAGAAACCACGTACTCTCTCACCCCTAAGGATGTTGCAAGCGGTTTGGCGCCAGTGAGACTTTCCCTATGCATGTTTTGTGACACCCAAGACAAACTACGCATTTGATATCAATAATGTCTGCCCACAATACACACCAGTTATACCAATTTAACAGCGGTCATAGTCGTTACTAGGTGATAATGTAATATTTTAATTAGTCATGAACAGTAGTTACTGAAAATATAATAGTATTTTTTCCAAGTTCAAGTTTGAAAGAACGATATATACTGTACACCATTTCAGAAGAAGCTGCCTCAAAGGCACAGGCCTACAGTAGGTGGCTCCATATTGTACAAGCCAGTTGATAGCTTGATTTAACCGCTAAGTGTCATAAAAATCTAAATTCACCCTTGCCTTTTTGCCAGCCTGAAATTGTGTTATTTCTTGGTCAAAACCCTGGGACCAGAGTGGCTTTAATTCAGGTACCTGGTGTAAATCCACTGACCTAATCAGATTTCACATCACCCACACCTGTTTTCCCACGACCTGACTAATGAAAGTGACCACGTAAAAAGTTTTCCCGATTGAGCAAAAACGTCATTTACATTTTAAAGCTTAATACAGTACCTGCAAACATACATATACTTTTATGTATGGTTGTTCGTAGGTGTATATCTACAATTGTGTTTGTTCCCACGCACAACTCCTTGTGTAAGTGTATTCATGTTTTATTATATCCGACCCAAATCCTGGTTGTGTGTGCGCGCGTGTTTGCAGAAGCTGGCCTTGGCACAGTGAACTAGAGTGGATGGATATCACAAGTTGGCAAGTTACTTGCCATACCTCACTGTTTGTGTTCATCACATATGCCGGGCAATCATTCCCCATGCATCGTCATAATTACACTGACACTGGTCGTAGTTAATTAACTTTATAACCATTTTCGACGAATGGCTTTGTTTGTAAATATAAGAACCATTATTTACAAGCCTTAAGATACCGCTATGGTTAATATGTTTTTTTGCCTTTTGGTATAACGAAGTGTGGTGATATTGAGTATACGGCGTGGAGGTCGGATAAACACCACCTATTTTCATCTCATCCATCCAATTCTGACACGTCCTAAGATATGGCAGCCAAGTTTTCGGTAACCATATCAGGTTTTGGCAGCAGCACATACCTGCCAAATACGATCACATTCTGCCTTATGCAATGTTTATCCAATTGTCAGGCACACTGTCGCAGTATAGAAAAAATATCCAAAACTTGACCGAAATACAGAATCGGGTAGGTGGGTACGGCCTGAATATTTGGTGAAAACAGACACCAACCAAATAAACATTATGACAACACCTTTTTTTGGTGGGGAGGGGGGGTTGCTTCATCCTGTCTATTGTCAGAAATCGTAAACTTCGCCAGTATTTATTCGTAATGTGTAGATTTTAGTGGTGTTCTAGTGATAATTTAGTCAAGCATATTAAACGATTCTGCTGCGCTATTTAACATTCATCCACATTATCCTATAGAAAATCCTTCACGCTGCAATACATAATATAAAAAAAAATTCTCTGCGGAGCTCTTGCCTTAGGAGACGCGTTTACTGTTTCACAATAATCTCTGACGCTGCTGTTTTCTACTAACCAAACCTCGTGCCCAGGGGCGATTCTACGGGAGGGCCATGGCCCCCCCCAGATTTTGGGCTGGCCCCTGGGTTGCCCCCCCCCCACTTTTTATTCTCAAAATTGTAATTCCAAAAACATTCCCAAAACCAGGAAGTGAGTCAAGTGACTCAGGCAATGGGCGCGCCGCACGCCAGATGCGGGCATGGGTGAGGTGAGATCACTGAGGTGAGGCCCGGAGGGCAGGATTTGGGAGGGTGCAGATATGCGGGGTGGGGTCACATCACGGTGTATATAAACAAACTGCCTCGTCGGTGATGAACATTACCACTGTATTTCCACTGAGGAGGGTGACAGACTGACAGTAATTGTCGAATTTGTCGCCGAAACTACCCAGAAGAAATATTTCGTCTGCCACAGTGGGTTTTTCTGCTTGCTAAGTGAGGTATGTTTAGAGAGAACATGTGAGTAATTTTTTAACTATAGGAGTAATATTACAATCACTCAATCTCAATGATTCAGTTCAAGTGGCTGTAGTTGAGCTGAGCTGTGCAGTATAAGGTAAATCAGTACAGTCCATCAGTTATATCATTACAAAATGTAGGCCTAAAGCATTCTTATGACATACTATATGTCATAAAAATATATAATTAATATGTCATGTCATATGCCAAAACTGCATTTTGCAAGTTGTACACATGTTTGCTGCCCCTCCCCCAACATTTACCTTGGCCCCAAAGTGCCCCCCACTGCAGCACGTAATACATAAACATGCAGGAAGCACCGTGGTCACTCATGAATGTATTGCAAAGATAGACACGTCATGAGAGCTCTCGGGGCTCATGGAGATGATCAGTTGTTGATTATTGGATTACTTTATCGTATTCCTGGTCACAATCCCTTCAGCTTTCCCCCTCCCCTGAACAAGAACACCTCCACCCACCCACCATGCTCTTCTGCTGCAATAATACAACAACAACTTCTTCAGTGTCTGCAATCGATTTTCCCTCCTCAGAGTTCCTGGAATACAACCCACGCGGGCTGTAATCCACTGGTGTTGCACAAGCATTTTATTTACGGGGATTAGCCCACCCGGGCACAGGTCACTGACCCACATCGGGGCCTGGCTTGGCGAAAATTTAATAATAATAATAATAATAATAATTAGTTCATAGAAAATATAAAATAATAATAAAAATAATAACACTAATAATAATAATAATAATAAAGGACCATAAAGAAATACAAAAATGCAAAAAAAAAATTGTGAGAAACGATATACTTGTATGTATGTTGTGTTGTCAAAGTAAGAGAAACAATTGAGACCCTTCAATTGTGTGTAAATGAGTAAATGAGGCAGAAAGTCAGATCAGCAACCTGGAACTTGGTCGGTCACAATTTTCGTGATGCCATATGGCAGCAGGGTCTACCATTAGACAACACATTATGCTTCCAATATCTTCCCAGGCGGTAGTACCACCCTGTTTGGTAGCTGCCTACTACCTAATCCCATCTCTCTTTTCTTTAATACGTCAAGGGCGAAATGGATTATGTATCTTAGCTGTAGTAATGTTTTTTTTTAACCCCATTAATTTGTGTTATCGCGTCTATTCAGACTGATTTTTACGTTGTCTAAACATCGTAATCTGAGAACCAGTGTTATATGCACCCACTTCTCAGAAACGACATACATTATTATATTATTGTTATTAGTAGTAGTAGTCTAGTGTATCTGTGACTTGACAACAGCCTAACAACTCGTTGAAATTGTCTGGGTTTGTTTTACACTAAACAGTTGGCGACTTTACTGCGTTCAGCCGTTTAGGACGTCTCATTTTATTCAGAAAAAAATATTATAGAGCTATAATGTTATAATCAAATAGAGAATTTTATAAATATTGCTGAAATATGCTGATTAACAGGACTGGCGTCAATGCTCAAGGTCGGTGTTTCCTCAGTCAGATGTTAAGCTGGAACTTTTCTGACACCAGTATTACTCCCTATATTCAATGCAGTGTGGTCAAATTACCATATAGGATATTTAAACTTAGGTCACTGACCCACATCGGGGCCTGGGGCGAAAAACATTTATAATATAAAAATATAATGATAATAATCATTATTATAATAATAATAATAATAATAAATAAAAACAAAAATTAAGCAATCAAGAATAAAAAAACGATATATGTAGTGTTGTCAAAATTAAAAGAAACTATTGAGACCCCGCAATTGTGTGTAAATGAGGCAGAAAGTTAAATCAGCAACCTGGGACTTGGTGGGCGTTTTTGAACCCACAATTACACAACTCCAAATTTTCCCATTTTTGGGGGGAGAAGTTCCCTCCCATGGTTATAGACATGAAAGTGATATGAGGTTTTTCACCGTGGCTAATGGTACGGACTAATCTCGCAATGGTGATTCACGATGCATGGCTGGGATATTGCAGTTTCATTCGTGTCTCTCGCTTGAGGTTTGGTTTCATTTCTTAATCAATTCTCGGCCATCGCAAGACGTGATGAGACTTGTCAGTACAATTAGCCTTTGCCTATATTTTTATAGTTTTCGGTAGGTGTTTGTTAGTGATTATATTAAGATTATAAATAGTGTTCCTTCGTCAGACTAATATCTTTCTGATTTAACCAGATGCATAACACGTAACAAAAACTCTTAAGCAACTGGACGACAAGTACCGCACTCAACCTTTGTGTTGGAAATCAAGCGTCCCATAGTGTACTTGATAAACAAACTTCAATACTGTGAACTACTGGAAAGTAACAAAATATAAGTGACCTGAAACTAGACTTACCTTGGCTTCTTCGACACAAGCGTCGGCGGCCTCTACCTCTGAGTGCTTGGTATCAAGTGGTAAAGAGTGAACCAGGAGCTATGAATCGTAGAAAATCATCGACTTCGTCCCTGGACGAGATCAGCGCCAGCTACGACGTGCCGGTGATCGACCCCACGTCCGTTCCCAAGGTACTGTAAGTCCTCTGTATTTTGTCTTGTAGTCTTGCAGCTGATGGGGTGTTTGTGTGCAAAAAGGTTACTCTAAAATTCTCTTTGGATTATAAAAACAGACTTATAGAAAGGTCAGAAAATGTAGTTGAACATGCAATAGCCTGTCAAATCTCTAGATATAGTCATAACAACATTGTCACACCGTAAAACAGTGCGCTTATCCGCAGGGTCCATACAGTTCCCTCAAACAGCTCTAACTTCTTTGTATTTCATCCAATAACCGCCAAAATTGGTCTGAATGTTGCCAATAATTAAGAAAACAAGTGATAAGTATTTTATAAGAATCCCATTGTTGGTTAAGGAGTTAATCAATGCCCAATGTCAATTTTGGTAATGAAAAGTGCATATACTCTCAGCACTCACTTGAATAGGATTAATGCCTCTAACAGTATTGGCAATGTATGTACATTTTAACATAAGAATGGAGGAAACTGCAGCGGGCCTATTGGCCCATACTGGGCAGCCCCGGGTACACCCAACCCCTATCGCTCATATATCCATCCAACCTATGTTTGAAGCTATCCGGCGTATCTGAGTTAATGATAATGTTTGGGAACTTGTTCCATTCATCCACTACTTTATTTTCAAACCAATGTTTACCTATTTCGCGCCTAAATCCAATTTTATCCCTAAATTCATATACTGTATAAGGAACGTTTTCACATCTCTGTTACAAACGGTTACAGGACAAAATCCCAGTGGACAAAATCCCAGCCTCTTATCCCAAAAGTGGACAAAATCCCAGTCTTATAAATAAAAGTCTCATATTTAAAAAAAAACAAATTTAACATTCAAAATTCGAGTCATAAATAAAATAAATAAAATAAAATAAAATTCAGTTTCATAAATAAAAGTCTCATATATATAAAAAGAAACAAGCTTTTAAAAAAAATTTAAAGTCAAATTGATACAATAAACAATATTCAATATATAAATTTATTTCATGCTCACAAAATTATGCTCCATTTATGTAAACATAATTATGAATTATCATATTATTAATATAACAGGCGAATGGTCTTTACACCTAATCTTATTAATTAATCTTATATGAGACTGGGTTTTTGTCCACTTTTGGGATAAGAGGCTGGAATTTTGTCCGCTGGGATTTTGTCCACTGGGTTTTTGTCATGGAATCGTTACAAACACTTTGCTCAAGTACCAACTGGCTGTTCATTGAAGCTCTGATTTCACGTATACTTTATCCTTTCCCCTCTGAGAACCCGTCTCTTACAAATTAATGCACGCACGCTTTGCCACTTAACTGACCGGGTTTTTGTTTTCTGAGCACCCTTGTGCAAACACTAACTTAGCATCTTCCAAATCACATACCTGTGTGTACACGTTGTCACGAAAATACCAAACAGATTTTAAGAACAAGTTAGTTCGTTTCACACCCTTCTGAGACAGAACGTTTCACACCCTCACACCACTCAAGTAGCCTTTGGTTACGTAGTTTGTCTATTGCTTTTTGTGAGTATATATGACTTATAATATTCATTTGACATATGCTAGAGAAACTGTTCACTTGTATCAATCATTTTCAATCTCTTCCAAACGTCATCCTCACTAATACTAGCTGCTTCCCTAACGCCTATTCGTCCTTTCTCGTTACTGCTTTCTGTCTCATTCTTGGATGGTTGACATTATAACACATTTACTCATCGTCAATAGTTACCATTTTTAAGATGGCCATCCTTTACTAAATGCTCCCCCTTTTTTCATCCATATTGACAGTTTTATTCTTCAATAACTTTGAATAAGTGATAGACAAAGTATGGGTGATATAACAAGGAGCACATCCATGAGAGGTGAGCCAGGCTGCCACACATACTGCCAATCATCGCAACTAATAATTTGTACACAAAACTGAAGTAACCGCATGTATCATAATCCAGAAGACTCCGGTACGACAAACCTTCCGGTAGTGTAATAGGGCTTGGAAGTAGAGGGAAAACGTGGGGTAAAATACTGAAAAGAAAGCAAAATAAACCTTTAAACCCTTATTTAACTTATACAAATTCGATAATTATAAAGCACACTTACCTTATTCTTGCTTTCGGTGTTTAATGTGTTGGTGTAATTTTCGGTGTTCAGATGACGAAAAGCCATGAACACTAAAGCGACTTTTAACCTTTTTTAGGTTTGGAAAGGTTAGGTTAGGTTAGGTTTTCAAAGGTTTGTTTGGTGTTCTTTTTAATATTTTACCACACATTTTCTCTACTTCGAAGTCCTATTACACAACCAGACTTGGGCTGTTGGTACACTCTGATTTGCAGCCCATGGACTGTTTTTCGCAGCTGCAGCCATCATGTGAAGTATTGCCTCAAAACAAAGCTTTCACATGAAATTTTGTTTGTGTCGCACGTCAGTTCAGCTACATCTGCTGATGATGGAGAATCCCACAGCACAGGTCTCATGTACAGTACTTGGTCTCCCATGATATCCTGACACTTTTATACAATTCTCATCGGTATTCATAATTCTTGGAGGCTACAGTATGTTTATTTTATAGTTCAATAGAGCGTCGTCCGCTGGGCGCGGGAAAGCTGCTGATTGCAGCTTTGGTCTTGTTCAGGAAAGTAGAGTAGAATAAAGCTTACCAGAGCAATACATTCGGGCATTAGCGCTTGCCCAGGCATAGGAAACCAGTGTGATACGGTTTTTAGTTTGCCACTTGTCTCAATCACGGTCTATGGTGTATGAACCTTGGGCTCGGTGAGCCTCGAATATTTAAACATGGCGTTTTAGGTACAGTAAAGGTCCGTATATTCTCTCGCCTATTCCCATGCCCGAATTCTTACTGAACACAAAATGTTTTGGAATTGATACTTAACCCCTGTATTTTGTATCCTGACCCACTACCAACCCCTGTATTTGTACCCTTACCCGCTACCAAATCCTGTATTGTACCCTGATCCCCTACCAACCCCTGTATTGTACCCTGACCCCCTACCAACCCCTGTGTATTGTACCCTGACCCGCTACCAATCCCTGTATTGTACCCTGACCCCTACCAACCCCCTGTATTGTACCCTGACCCCTACCAATCCCTGCATTTTGTACCCTGACCCCCAACCAATCCCTGCATTTGTACCCTGACCCCTACCAACCCAGTGTATTGTACCTGACCCCTACCAACCCCTATTGTACCCTGATCCCCTACCAACCCCAGTATTGTACCCTGACCCCTACCAACCCTGTGATGTACCCCTGACCCCTACCAACCCCTGTATTGTACCCTGACCCCTACCAACCCCTGTGTTGTACCCTGACCCCTACCAACCCCCTGTATTGTACCCTGACCCCTACCAACCCCTGTATTGTACCTTGACCCCCACCAACCCCTGTATTGTACCCTCTGACCCCCTACCAACCCCTGTATTGTACCTCTGACCCCTACCAACCTCCCCTGTATTGTACCTTGACCCCTACCAATCCCTGTATTGTACCCTGACCCCCTACCAACCCCTGTATTGCACCTGACCCCTCACCAATCCCTGTTGTACCCTGACCCCTACCAACCCCCTGTATTGTACCCTGACCCCTCTACCAATCCCCTGTATTGTACCCTGACCCCTACCAATCCCTGTATTGTACCCTTGACCCCCTACCAACCCCTGTATTGTACCCTGACCCCTACCAACCCCTGTATTGTACCCTGACCCCTACCAACCCCTGTATTGTACCCTGACCCCCTACCAACCCCTGTATTGTACCCTGTCCCCTACCAACCCCAGTATTGTACCCTGACCCCTACCAACCCCTGTATTGTACCCTGACCCCTACCAATCCCTGTATTGTACCCTTGACCCCACCAACCCCTGTATTGTACCCTGACCCCTACCTAACCCCTGTGTACTGGCCCCATCCCCTACCAACCCCTGTATTGTACCCTGACCCCTACCAACCCCTGTATTGTACCCTGACCCCTACCAACCCCCTGTATTGTACCCCTTTAATCCCCACTGTCCTCTGTGTTGTACTGACCCCCTACCAACCCCTGTATTGTACCCTGACCCCTACTCAACCCCTGTATTGTACCCTGACCCCTACTCAAACCCCTGTATTGTACCCTGACCCCTACCAATCCCCTGTATTGTACCCTGACCCCTACCAACCCCTGTATTGTGCCCTCTGACCCCCTACTGCCCCTGTATTGTTCTGACCCCCTCCAACCCTGTATTGTGCCCTGACCCCCACAAACCCCTGTATTGTGTACCCTGACCCCCTACCAATCCCTGTATTGTACCCTGACCCCCTACCAACCCCAGTATTGTACCCTGACCCCCTACCAACCCCTGTATTTGTGTCCTAACCAGTGTTGGCACTATGGCAGATCCTGTATGGGCACAAGGAGTCCATAGACTCGCTGGTGGATGCCGAGTGGAGTCAAGAGTCCAGAGTGCTGGTGTTGTACACAGGGGGAACCATTGGCATGGTCAGAAACGACAGAGGAAGTGAGTATTGTACTGGCCACCAAACAAAAGTTCCTTGACACGCCTGAAACTCTGTACTGCTGGGACGAGTCACTGAACTGGTTGTATACCTGTACTGTAGTTAGCGCTGTAGTATCTCCTTGACTTTGGTACAGTTTCGAACAGGAGTGTAAGGAAGCTTTTGTTTTAGTGACTGAAGCTCTAATAACTAAATTTGTTTTATATTTACTAGCGAGATTGAGTTTCTCTAAACTTTATTTTTTCCCTAATTTAAATCTAGAAATTTATATTGAATCGTTGGGTAGGCTACTGTCATCATGCACGGTGACCAAAACATAGTTTAGTATTTGTCAGACCAGGACATAAGTGCAACCGTATTATAACAAGTAAACATTTATTGATGCATTATTAACAATAAAAACATCACTTTCACACGAAGGAACAGATGATAATAAGGGGTCACAGTACATATGGTTATAAGAACAATTTGTTTATAGCGTCCAATAGTGTACGAGAATAACCTGTTTATAGCAGACAAGTATCTTGAAGGACCCACCTCTGTTACAGCCTCCTGTCAGTATTGATCACCAAAAACCACATTCTTCTTTATGCAGTAGTCACAACACCTTCATGTTCACTCGTCATACTTAGTTAAATTTTTGTCTCTTGAGATTACATTTCTAAGCTTAGGAGACAACATGATCGCGTCGATGTTTTCGCCTTCACCGAGACGCCTGTAGGAGGTATTATTTGACACCGGGAGTTTCCTCCGCGTTTCTGGATACCTTCATCTATGGACACACTTAGGTGATGTGTGTGTGTGTCAGTGGGCACAACAGTGGTGTTGAGGAAGGTGGAGGAGAGCGTTGCAGGCAAGGTTCCACAGCATGTTGGTGGCGCCATCCTCCACGTCTTTGCCTGCGTGTTGGAAGTCCCTGCAACCCCAGGAGGTGGGCGTGAGAGGGGCGAGCCCCGCCTGGTGTAGGGCACGACACTCAGTGTGTTGTCGGAGCATCATAACAGTGTGCGAGTCCCACAGCCACACACCGCCGTGTCCCAGTTTTGCCCAAGCTGCCCTGTTTATCATATCGAGAGCTCCGTTGGGCACTTCGCGGATGGCCAACCAGGCTTTGATGGGACCATGTACGTGCCACAACACACGAGACCGCCTTGCCAGCTTGTTGAGGATTGGCGTCATCACCTGCAGTGTGTACATGAAATCACTGACGGCCTCGTCGCCGGAAGACATGGAAGTGTCCCACAACCCAGACGTTACGTAGATGATGTCTGGAACGGGGCCGTCTTGAGGCCCTGGCGTCCCAGAGGCCCAGGCCTCCAACAGGTCACGGGCGCCCTGGCGGGATACGTCATCTGGTTGACGCTGACGATGGAGGAAAGTGGACCAGTGAAGACGCAGGTGGAGGCCATCACCCACCACGGGAATGTTTACCTTAGCTTTACTATCCAGGAACCCTAGTGTGTCGTTCATGGCGTGAGTGTCTCCCTCCAGGCGGTATTGTAGGTGGTGCAACGTCCCGCGGATCATCTGCTGCATTGTGTTCCTCACGCGGGAGTCGCCCACGAAGGCGATGCGGAGTGGGGCACCAGTGTGGGCCAGGTAACGACGGGTGCAGGTGAGAACCTCTGCGGGTGTATAGAGGTGCACCTCACATGGCAAGAAGGGCAGCGAGGTGGCCGCCCTGGTGAGGTGAGGGTCAGCCTCTATCTTCACGTGGCTTGAGGCAGCTGTGGCTGACGTCACGTTGGCGGTGAACACTTGTGGCATGTACCGAGCCAGGGTGGCCAGGTGGGGCATCATGGTCTCATCAAGCTGGGTGCGGGCAATCCCGAGTCCTTTTACCGCCCTCACCCATGCTGCATCCCCTGCCCGCATTTCCGCCACGCCCTCCAACCCACATGCGCCTACTGTGAACATGGACCTACATTCACATGTGTCTGGCAGTTGGACACGAAACCTGCTGCTGTTTAGGCGCCAACTGGTTACCTCCGCGGCTTCTTGGGAGTAGTGTAGTGGGTTGGGAGAGTGGGCGTGTGTGGCCGGGTGGTAGAGGCGAAGCAGAGTAAGAAGGGTGGCTGTCATCACCACGACCCAACACCACCTGATGAAGTAGACGTTAATATTATTGTTAGTAAAGATCTCTCTCTCACACTCGCACATTCCTCTACGAATCTTATCGCCTCACATGCTTCCCCTCCTTGCCACACTTTTACATCCCTCAACGCCTCTCCTCACGCTCGTGTCTGCCCCTCCCCTTTCAACACTGCCAGCCAGCAGCGTAAACTCTGTCTCTGAATAGACCACGAGGCTTCACCTGTAGTCACCCTGACCTTTTAAATCATGTTAACCAAACACAGCATGCCAGTGCTTGGAGGGACAACCCACACTGACCTGATTTGTGAGTTTAAAGGCCGTGAGTCGGCGTTAGGTGTCAGAATACAAAGAAAATTAAATGAGAAAAGTATGCATACATACGGTATAAATCTCATAATGACTTATCCATGAATCTAAATAACTAATCTGTGTGGTCTTTGTGTCTACGATGCAATATAAAACACTTACTGGTCTTTCTTCTTTACAAATGCTTGTTTCATAATTGTCATCGCATGACGTCTGTTAAATTCGCAGTAACTAACTGCTTAATTTACAAGCGGGAAGGTCACAGATTATCTAACCATCAAAAATCTTAAAATTCAGTTTGGTTCAGTATGTACAAAATGGGACACGAATTATAACTTCACATCAACATTTCTTATGGCGGTTTGCTAGCTAACACCATACGTCAATTTTTGTATAGCAGTCACTTTACGTACGAGCACCTTATACCACTCTACAGCGGTTGTAGGAAAAGTAGGCAGCAGCCACGTATACGGTCTACCCAAACACATTGAGTTGCTAATTACTAAATATATGTGTGATCCGCTTGACTGACACTGATGGCGTTTTATATATATGCATGTTTCTTGAAATTAGAGTGAGGAATGAAATAATGATATAAATTTAAGAGTAAAGCGGAAAATACTGTAACAGTGTGGTGACTACGTGAGAGTAAACATAAACTAACAATGTGACTCAGTGACTCGTATCCAGGAAGTTTTAAAGAAAACTATCGCGCTCTACAAGTTAACATCATTACTAACAACACATGAATTGTGTATTATTTACGATGCAGAAATACTATAACTGGTGTTGTAATATGTTGGGTGTTATCATTAGGTTGACAGTACACCGTAAGTGGGAAGATATTGTCTTAAAATAGCATCAAAGACGTGTAGTACAATGACCCCACCCTGCCTAGCCTTAGCTCCCCACCTTGATCTCTCTGGTTCTCTCCGTCTGTTGCAGCCCATACTCCTTCCTCTCTCCCTCTATTGCAGCCCTTACACCTTCCTCTCTCCCTCTATTGCAGCCCTTGCCCATTTCTCTCGCCTTCTATTGCAACCCTTACGGTAATTTCTGAGACAGCACTACCACCAGAAGTTGTTCGATTTCGTTATTTTTTCCACATGTTCTTATCATTATAGTAAGTATTTTAAAAGAGGTGGGAACTTCGTGTTTTCTTGTTCCCTTGTGGTTATCAGCATATATATAATGATAAGAGCAGCTGGAAAAAATGAACGAAATCTAACAAATCCTTCGGGTGGCAGTGCTGTTCTCAGACATTACCTCCCTTACTACCAGGGCTGGCATGATTTAAATCAAATTATTTAAAACTATGATAAGTGTTAACTTGTACGGTAATTGTTAACACCCTTATTGTATATTCTTTTACATGTAATGAATTTCTAATAAAATAAAACATTAAAGTACAGGTAAATTATTTAGACTGGTCTAGTCTCTAATATAAGAATTAATCTATATTCACATATAACTGTATAAACTTGGGTTTACCACTTGACTACAAGTTACTAATTTTGTTCTTGCCACATGACAACTCATTTAACATGTGTCTTTCCACTTGACAGAGCTGGCACCTATACCCCGGGAACTGGAGACCAACATCCGTAGGTATCCTCACATGCACGACGACTTATATGCCAGCAAGCACTTCAATGGCCTGTGCAACCCTCCGCTCGTCCTCCCGTGAGTCTCCAGTCTCGACGTTCTCACCCATTTAACTTTTACTCTCTTCACCACTGATCGGCTCGTTAGCCGCTTGGGCTAACGCAAGAATCTCACAGTCTCCACTTCTGTCTGTTCTGATTTTTTTGTTTCTGGTTTTTCGGTGCAGATGTAATGTTCGTCTTCTTGTTGCTTTGCCTGCGTATTTTCTATGACTGTCTCCTGGTGTATAATACAGTACCATCTCTGTCGTTTATGTAGATCACAAACAAAGGGGATCCCATAGAGCCTTGTGGTACTCCACTGAGAACCTTTTTCCATTCAGAATGTACTCTTGTTTATTATCACTCTTGTTGCTTGTATTTAGCCATTTCAATTTGTTTTTGTGATGCCATGTGCCTGGATCTTAGATATTAGTCGTGCTTGTGGGACTTTGTGAAACGCTTTGGAGAGATATACGTATACAGCACATCCACTGGTGAGCATTTGGTCCACATATTCTGTAACTATTTAAAGGAACACGAGAACTTTGTCAAGACAGGATTTTCTTTCCATAAAACCGTGTTGTGATGCGTCGATAAGACTGTGTTAGGTCAGGTGGTGGATGATGGCTTCCTTCAGAATTTTCTTGAAGAACTTGCACTTTTGTCTACCCTTCTTATATACTAGGGTGATGTTGGCTATTTTCCAGTCCCTAGACACTTTATCTTTAATCAAGAATTTCCCGAATAAGAGGCCTAGTGGGGTGCAAATCTCATTTGCCACTTCCTAGCACCTTGGTCTGCTGCTTCAGGGGCTTTGAAGTCTTTAAAGCTGGTTTCTTTCCTTTTGATATTATCGGCTGTAATTGCTATCTCTCTTAATTCGTTTTCCACACTTAAGGTACACATTGTTTTTTGTGTGAATACTGATGCAAGGTACAGTACTGTATTTAAGGTATTAGCTGTTTATCTATCATCCTCGAGGGTCACGTTGTTTACATCCTTAAGAGGGCCGAGAGTATCCTTGGTTTTCACTATATCTTTATCCTCTTCACCACTGATCGGCTCGTTAGCCGCTTGGGCGATCGTTCACGTCTCTGTTACGCACTGTTGGCAAGTACTGGGCATGCACAGACTCCTGAATGTACCTGAACCTGCTCCACTCTTGGTCAGGTATGGTCTTGAAAGCGGTCTGACTAATTACCCAAATGTACCCAAATGTAGCCGCAATGAAGTCAAATGATGGTCGTACAAGCGTAAATCGGCCTGTGAATCACTTCTCGATTATTATTTGGTGTCATAAAGTCACAAAAAATTGGTAAACTTAATTTAATCTGAGTTGTGTTGTGTTAGGTTAGATTAGATTAGATTAGATTAGGTTAGGTTAGGTACATGCACTTGATTTATAAACTCAGATTAAATCAAGTTTACCAATTTTTTGTGACTTCGTGACACCAAATACTAGTCAAGGTTAGGTTAGGTTTGGTTCGGTACATGCACTCGATCTATTAACTCAAATTAAATTACGTTTTCCAATTTTTTTTTACTTTGTAACACCAAATACTAGTCGAGAAGTGATTGGTAACCCGATTTATTCATGTAGGACCATTATTTGACTTCATTGCAGCTACATTTGGGTACATTTGGGTAATTAGTCAGACCCTCTTGAAAGAGCTCACACTCGGTGCCGTCACAACACTTTCTGGTAGATTGTTCCAGGAGTTCACAACTCTCACTCCGAAAAAGTTTGCCCTCACAGTTTTGTGAGCCTGCGGCTTCTTCAGCCTTGAGCTGTGACCCCTTGTGGGGCGAGCGCCAGCTCCAAGTAAGGACACTCGACTGAGTAGTGCCCCTTGAGATGCTTATACACCTCAATTAGGTCGCCCCTTGTCCGTCTGTAGTATAAGCTAGGCAAGTTCAGGCACTCCAATCTCTCAGGGTAGTTGAGGTGCCAAAGTGCAGGCACCAGTCTGGTGGCCCCCCTTTGAACATTTTTAACCAACTGACAGGCCCTAGCATATCTCGGGGACCAGATGGGGTGACTGTACCCCAGATGGGGAAGCACTTCACTCTTGAAGATTGTTACGAGATATCTAAACTACCTCCTTATAAGACCCAATAATTTATTTGCCTGATTTACCTTCTTCTCGCAATGGCAGAGAACTTCAGTCTCATTGTCAACATACACACCTAGGTCCTCCTCACATTCAGTCTCAAATAATGCAGTTTCTTCATCCCGTTGGGACATGTGATACACCTCCTTACCGTTGGTACGCCCTAGGCGCATAATCTCAGCAGCCATTTCTTCGACCATTCTTGGGGCTCACAGAGATCCTTCTGCAGCTCTTCACAGTCCGCATGGTTCTTGATTTCCCGAAATAACTTGGCATCATTGGCAAACATTTGTATGAAGGAGTGTACTACATCAGGCATATCATTTATGAAACAAACAAACAACAGCGGGCCCAATACACTGCCCTGTGGTACCCCGCCTGTGACAGGTACCGATGATGATTTCGTGCCTTTAATCACCACACACTGCTTGCGTTCATGTAGAAAGTCTTCTATCCATGCTAGGACATTTCCCCGAATTCTGTACTCTTCCAGTTTGATTTTCAGTCTTTTGTGGGGTACACTGTCGAAAACCTTGGCAAAATCTAGGTATATATTGTCAATATTACCACCCCGTTCCAGAATATGGGTCCAAATATCCAATACCTTGAGCAATTGTGTTAAGCAGGAGCGCCCCGGCATGAAACCGTGTTGGCAATCCTTTACATGGTTGTTTCGTAGTAGATGTTCCATCGCGGCATCTCTGATAACACTCTCAAGTACTTTACATATTATGCTGGTCAGGCTCACTGGTCTATAGTTGTTAGTGGAATGACAATCGCCCTTCTTGAAGATAGGACTCACATGAGCCACTTTCCATTCACTGGGGGCCTTTTGTTCATCCAGGCATTTACAAAACAGGATCTTCAGGGGCTCGGCAAGCTCGTTGCACAACTCTCTTAGCACTCTAGGATGCACCATGTCATGGCCGGGACTCTTATGGACCCATAGCTTTGACAGTTTATTTCTAATACCCTCTTCTGTGAACACAATGTGGGTCAGTGCTGCGTCGAACCGTTTGTCCTTTACTCCCGGCAGACGCATAAAAGGACTTAGGATCTTAATTTTTTATTTATTTTGGGCTAACTTCATCTTGAAATGCCGTTTGACTGATTTCATTTCCTGATTAGCCACATTTAGGGCTCTTGCAACTGTACTACATAATCTGCATTATGTCCAGTGTTCGGTATTTCTTCCACATCTTGTATTTTTTCTTGCAGCCTTCCCTAGTTCTGTGATTTATCCACCTGGTCATTTTTCCTTTGTTTTCCGGGGTATACATTCCTCTACTGTTAACTCAAGGATTTCCATGAAGTTTTGCATTGATTCTTCTATGTCTGCCCTTCTCTAACGATTTCCTTCCAGTTAATTCTCTGTAGTAAGTCATTATTATTTCACTAGTTAATTAAGTTTATGTACACAGAGACTGTAAGGAGAAGCGACGGGTGGTGTACTGGGTGTATGAATATGATCCTCTGCTGGATTCCTCTAACATGACCATGGATGACTGGATTCGCATTGCCAAGGATATTCGGGTTAGTGTTACAACCTGTCAGACTCTTGAACACCTATCACATTTGTTTTAGGAAATACATACTGTAAACTACTTGTAATCAGGGTTCTCAAATAAAAAAAATTACCCAGTATAATTGATTTTTAATTTTATGATTTGACAATGAATGTTAAATCTTTCAGAAGTCTTTGTTGCTACAAATAATTTTAGGCAGTGTACTGTGTAATCATCACAATACAGCAATCAGTACACTACAGTATTTCACAACTACAGTAGGGTATATTTTATAATGCATTGTACAGTATATACTTTACTCTTCCACTATGAAGCCTATCCTTATAATGGTATAGAATTATTAATAGTACATATTTTCCTCAGGGTGTATACGAGATGTTTGATGGGTTTGTGGTGCTCCATGGGACAGACACTCTGGCCTACACTGCCTCGGCTCTCTCCTTCATGTTGGAGAACCTGGGCAAGCCTGTTGTCATTACTGGGTCACAGGTACTGAGGCCTTCATTATCACTGTACTTTCTTAAATATTACTGTATTTTCCGTACAGTTTAAATAGTTGTCATTATCAATCGATATACTGCAGTTTATCACATTTTTTTGTGTACCTAATGGCCACCCACTTGAGGTGACCATCCCAAGGGAAGGAAGTCGGTGGCCTGTGGAGGATCCCTCCCTCCTGTGTTAGTGCTGATTTACATTTTTTTTTTTGTCATTTACAGTGTGTGTGTGTGTTCCTACATGTTGTCTGATCCCTTGTACAGTATTTGTTTTTCTTGGTAGTGTTATGGATGAAAGTAATGCCTTTATATACTGCTCTTCATTTTTTTTTTTTGTAAGTTAGTTGATCTTATTATGTCTATGGTTAACTGACAACCTTATTTATTTCTCAGATTCCCATTTTTGAGACTCGGAGTGATGGAAGGGACAACTTCATCGGGTCAGTGATCATGGCGGGGAGTTACACGATCCCTGAAGTGTCAGTGTTTTTCAATAACAAATTGTATCGTGGGAATCGGACAACCAAAGTATCGACAGGTAGACTACAAGCCTTTGACTCCCCGAACATGTCTCCGCTGGCCATTGCTGGCATCTCCATTCAAGGTGAGAGATGAGGAAAGTATGAGAGAGGGGGAGAATCATGTTGTCAGAGAAAAATGGGTAAGAGGTTAAATATTTTGTTGAGGAAAGTGTCAGTGATTGTCCCATTGCAGTCTCAGTAGCTACCTTATTTGCGCAATTCACATGTCAAGGTATATTTGTACGTATCTGTTATGTGTCAGTAGTGTGTAAACATTTTGTTTTATGAAGATGAGAAAAGAAGTCATTTATGTATGTATATACTGTAATAGATATGCAGTAATACATATTATATTAATACTGTACAGGTATGTACTACTCCATAGGTTTTCATACAAAGAATGTTCTTTTTCAGTTGACTATCGCTCTGTGTTTCGGCCAACTTGTCTGGAGAAATTTACAGTGTTTGACCGCCTGAACCGTCATGTGGGTATCCTGCGGATATTTCCCTCCATTTCAGCAGAGACGGTTTGCTCATTCCTTCAGCCCCCCATGGCTGGGGCTGTCATACAGACCTATGGTGCTGGCAACATGCCCTCCAACCGCAGTGATATCGTAAAGGTTAATTGTAGTTTTTCTTCCAGTTCCTTCTCTTCGTATTTTAATGTGTAGTTAGTGTGTCTTATTATATTTTAATTGATTGTCTAGATGGTTTTGTGTGTCATTGTATTATAGGGAAATTTGTGTGTGTGTGTGTGATGTTTGTACATTGAAAGATCACAAGTGTTTCTTTATTTACTCAAGATAATGTACATTAATTGATAATTTGACAATTTAATTATGAGTTAATAGAAACCTACCTTACATACCTAATAGCAATCCACTAGAAGTGGCCGTAGCAAGGGAACGAGGCCAGTGGCCTGTGTAGGATCTCTACATTGCTTTTTATTTACCTTTACTTTTATCCTCTTCACCACTAATCGGCTCATTAGCTGCTTGGGCGATTGGTCACGTCTCAGTTATGCACTGTTGGCAAGTACTGGGTATGCACCGGCTCCTAAATGTACCTGAACCTGCTCCAGTGTTGGTCAAGTATGGTCTTGAAAGAGCTCACACTCGGTGCCGTCACAACACTCTCTGGTAGATTGTTCCAAGAGTTTACAACCCTCACTCCGAAAAAGTTTGCCCTCACAGTTTTTTGGACCTGCAGCTTCTTCAATCTTGAGCTGTCACCCCTTGTGGGGCGAGTGTCCACCAGCTCCAAGTACAGGACACTCGACTAAGTAGTGCCCCCTGAGATGCTTATACACCTCAATTAGGTCGCCCCTTGCCCATTTGTAGTATAAGCTAAGCAAGTTCAGGCACTCCAATCTCTCAGGGTAGTTGAGGTGCCAAAGTGCAGGCACCAGTCTGGTGGCCCTCCTTTGAACATTTTCAACCAACTGACGGTCCCTAGCATATCTCGGGGACCAGACAGGGTGACTGTACTCCAGATGGGGAAGCACTTCACTCTTGAAGATCGTTACGAGGGACGGACCGTCTAGATATCTGAACGACCCTCTTGTAAGACCCAATAATTTATTTGCCTGATTTACCTTCTTCTCGCAATGGCCCGAGAACTTCAGCTCATTGTCAACATACACACCTAGGTCCTTCTCACATTCAGTCTCAAATAGTGCAGTTTCTTCATTCCGTTGGGACATATTATATGCCTCTTTACTGTTGGTACGCCCCAGGTGCATCCTCTTACACTTCATGATGTTGAATCTCAGTATCCCTTTCTTCAACCATTCTTGGAGCTCATAGAGATCCTTCTGCAGCTCCTCACAGTCCGCATGGTTCTTGATTTCCCGAAATAACTTGGCGTCATCGGCAAACATTTGTATGAAGGAGTGTATAACGTCAGGCATGTCATTTATGAAACAAACAAACAACAGCGGTCATGTAGAAAGTCTTCTATCCACGCTAGGACATTTCCCCGAATTCTGTACCCTTCCAGTTTGATTTTCAGCCTTTCGTGGCGTACACTGTCGAAAGCCTTGGCAAAATCTAGGTATATATTGTCGATATTACCACCCCGTTCCAGAATATGGGTCCAAATATCCAATACCTTGAGCAATTGTGTTAAGCAGGAGCGCCCCGGCATAAAACCGTGTTGGCAATCCTTTACATGGTTGTTTCGTAGTAGATGTTCCATCGCGGCATCTCTGATAACACTCTCAAGTACTTTACATATTATGCTGGTCAGGCTCACTGGTCTATAGTTGTTAGTGGAATGACAATCGCCCTTCTTGAAGATAGGACTCACATGAGCCACTTTCCAATCACGGGACCTTTTGTTCATCCAGGCATTTACAAAACAGGATCTTCAGGGGCTCGGCAAGCTCGTTGCACAATTCTCTTAGCACTCTAGGATGCACCATGTCAGGGCCGGGACTCTTATGGACCCATAGCTTTGACAGTTTATTTCTAATACCTTCTTCTGTGAACACAATGTGGGTTAGTGTTGTGTTGAACCGTTTGTCCTCAAACGCAGGAAGGTTAGCATAATGTTCTACTATCATACCGTTTATAGATTGTACTATTTTATTGGAGGTGCTGATTTTGGCTTGGTGTTTACCAGAGTTCTTACCAAGATAACTTACTGAAGATTTTTAGCGGTTGCTTGCTGTCTTATGTAGATCCTGTTGCCCACTTCCCTTTTTGTATGAACTATGTAATATATACTATATCAAATATTGAAAGGTATTATGGTAAGTGTCTTGTTGAAAGTGGCGTGGCCTTATTACATACTTTCGCCTATGTTTGGGCCTTGGGGGTTCGACTTATATGGCAAGTATAGAACTAAACCTGAATTTTGAACTAAAAATCTTGAGGTCGACTTATACGCCGCAATTTACGGTAATACCATCCTCTCTTGTGGACATCGAGGAAAAGAAGCTGTTCAATGCCTCAGCTTTATCCTGGTCAGAATCTGCGTAACTACCATCTTCAAGCCTCAGGTCTGATACTCCTAGTCGCGTTTTTAATTTCTACTTTGCATGGCGGTAAAACACCTTTGGGTTTGACTTGACCTCGCTTGCAACCAGCCTCTGGAACTCTTTTTCAGCCCTTCTACAATCTACCTTTGCTTGGTTTCTGGCTCTTGCATACATCCTCCTGTCCTGCTCATCGTTTGACCCAACCCACGTCTTGAATTTCTGGGATTTCTTGTTAACTTTGTCGACCACCGCATGGTTCATGTGTAGGGATTCCCTCGTATTCCTAGAGGCACTGGGTTTGGTCTTGGGTATATATTTATCTATCAAATGGGTCACTTTACTAGTTAGGATTTTCAGCGTAGTATCTGCGTTCTTGTGCCTTAATGAGTTAGGCCAGTGGATACCCTTCATCTCTTCCCTCATCCCGTTGTAATTTCCCTTGTAATATTTGCACCTTGGCCTGGCCTTATCTTGAACTAGGTAACAGTTAAATCTGAGTTTCTACAAAAAGAGTAGCAGGGTTATTCAAGTCATTTGGGGTGAACTCATTTCTCCAGTCAATGTCGCCATAGTTAAAGTCCCCCATGATAAGGAGGTGGCTAGGGTTGAGCATCTCTACGTTGTCTATTAAGGCTCTTAAGATCCTTTGATTTTGTGGGCCACAGTCTGGGGATCTGTAGATACACCTGACAATAAGTCCTCTCCCTTTAATATAATTTTACACCACTTTCAAAAACATCCTCTCCCTGTACCCTTGTCTGGCTGGCTGTAAGGTCTTGCCTAGCATAGATAACCACACCCCTCTTGCAAGTTTCTTGAGAAAGGTTCGTAAATGAGTCATAATTTTGTCAAGGGCTTTTGTGTGAACTCAGTACTGTTTATGATTCCACAGCTTGAGCTGGTGGACTGTTCCATAGATCTACCACCGTCTGTGTGAAGAAATATTCTCTTATGTTCATTCCGAGTGACAGTTTGGCCAGCTTGACGTTATGTTCCCAATTTTGTGGGTGCGTAACATTACAACAAAATAGCTTGGGTTCACATTTTCCATCCCTTTCAATATTTTGAATGTCTCAGTGAGATCTGCTCTATTGTGTATAGTCTGAATGGTTGTTTGTCTTAAAGCTTTCAGTCACTCAGTATCGCACCTTTTCTAAGGATGTTAGGTCATTCTGGAGATGGGGTTTCCGTGGCTGTGCTGTACTATATACAGTAATGCAGACTGGGAAGTACATGAGATTTATACTGTTGAAGGAGCCAGGGTTGAAAAATCCTTGGTAAAAAAAATGGTTAAAAAAAGCATGTTTTGTTTTTGTTGGGTTTAATAAGTTGTAATTATTTTTAGCTCGTTATATAACTTTTTAATGCTCGTATGCTATTAATCATAAACATTACATTGAGGAAGATTTAGCAATTGCTGTTCACTATTTATACCCTTTTGCATCTCAAAAAATCACTGTGCAAAGTTCAAATTTGGAAAACACAAGCACTTCATTTAAGTAGGTAAAAGGAAACAACATTTTACATTTTGACCATTTCACAAAGTGTCCATAAGTTTAAGTATCTTATTTCCATCTCGATTTCCTCAAGGGTTGGCTGATTTAAACCAATCTTTTAAACCCTGATTTAATTTTTTTTAATCTGTGCCTAGTTTCTTGGTTTTAAGTTTTTTGTTGGTTGTATTACTTACAGATGATTTGAATGATTTATAATAGATTTGGAAAAGTGTATGATAGGGTGAACAGAAAAGCATTGTGGGAGGTATTACAAGTGTATGGGGTGGGAGGAAGGCTATTAAATGCAGTAAAAGCATTGTATGAAACCAGCCGGGCAACAGTAAGAGTAAATGGGAATGAAAGTGAAACATTTTAAATAAATGTGGGTGTTAAACAAGGATGTGTTCTGTATTTTTTGCCTTTAAGTATGTAGGATGAGCTTGCATTTCTCAAATTTATCCTTTTCACAGTGATTTTTTTTTAGATGGAAAAAGAGTATAGTAAATGATTGCCAAATCATCCTGAATGTATTTTTTATGATTAATAACATATTAAAGATCTATATAAAGGGTTAAAAATACTTCAAACTTATTAAAACCAACATACAGTAATAGCATTAAAAACAAAATTTTTTTGTGAATTTTTTTAAACCCAGTAGTTTTTACCATCCATGAGTAGTACTGTATTGTACTGTATATACTTTATCTCTTATCATCTGAAATGATGTTGACCTCACTAATGCTCTAACATATTATCTTTTCACTTGGTGATTACTGTATTAAATTGAAGTACGGTACTGTAATTATGTAATTACTGTAGTTCATTATGTGTCATTTGTTGAACAAAACTGTTATCATAATCCTCCCCCCCTCCTCCCAGGTGCTGAAGGAAGCAACACAACGGGGAGTAATCCTGGTCAACATCACACAGTGTATGCATGGATCTGTTGACACCATCTATGAGACAGGCGAGGTTTGTGCCACATTTGCATTGCAAAAAATTTTGGATGGTGGCACCACTATAGGTCACAGGCTGTTAATACAGAAAACTGTTGGGGCTAACTTTTTTGAAGCAAGAGTTGTGAAATTGTGGGGTAGCCTTTAATTTGTCTGTATTTGAGAGTTTCTTTAATTTGAGACTGTGACCTCTACCGGAGCAACCATCTGCTAACTTGACATGAGGTGTTTTAAGATGCACGGAATAATTAACGCGCCCTTACCTGGAGCTGGTGGATGCTCACAGCTCAAGGTTGAAGAAGTCGCAAGCCCAGAAAACTGTGAGGGGTAACTTTTTCAGAGTGAGAATTGTGAACTCTTGGAACTATCTGCCAGAGAGTGTTGTGATGGTGCCGAGTGTGAGCTCTTTCAAGACCAGACTGGATAAGCACTGGAGCAGGTTCAGATACATTCAGGAGCCGGTGTATGCCCAGTACTTGCCAACAGTGCATAACAGAGACGACCGATCACCTAAGCGGCTAACGAGCTGATCATTGGTGAAGAGAATAAAGGTGAGCTTTCCCGGACTGTCCTTAAAAAAATATGACATTGTACCGCGTCTTTGGAATAACAGTTGTACAACACAGTCTTCAGAAAACAATAAAATTAGAAAAACTGTTATTTGGACACAATACAAAAAGAAATACTGTAGTGAAGAAAATAGAAAATTATGGAAACAAAGATGAAAAAGGAAAAAAAGTCAATCGGTCAACAATAAGTAATAATCTTTTGATTTATCCTCTTCACCACTGATCGGCTCATTATCCGCTTAGGCGAACGGTCACGTCTCTGATTACTTTTCCTTTTCTTTCATCCTCTTCACCAAAAGATCGGCCATTTTTAGCCGCTTGGGCGATCGGTCACGTCTCTGTTATGCACTGTTGGCAAGTACTGGGCATGCACCGGCTCCTGAATGTACCTGAACCTGGTCGTAAGTTGATAATGCTTAAATAATACATAGAAAATCTAAAGTGGGTGTCTCTTTTTCTTCTCAGCACCACAAAACTCTCACTTTTAAGCTTGCCAGCCATTTTAAAGTGAATTACAAACAAAAATTTTGTCAGTACACAGCGCAATCACTGACGTTGGGACTCAAAAACACGTAATTTGTCAAAATTTTGGTATGACTGAGGCGGTCTTATGTCCGGGTGGTCGTAAGTCGAGTAGGTCGTAAGTCGGGGAGGAGCTATAACACAAAAAAAAATGGGCCTGTTGTAAAGGAAATTTCTCCCCGACTCTGGAACCACATGAAACGACTAGAGCAGCTGTACACTTCTTCAGGTTCATTTGTCTTAAAAAATGCACTTACAGAACTGTAATCAACTTGTTGACCCTTATTTAAAGTATCTTATGAGTAATGATATTAAAGTTTTAATCATATTTGAGTAATTATCAATATTCGTACACCAAAGTCATCAATGAAATCGGACTGTGCCCACTTAAAAATGGGCGGAGCCAAAACTGGTTTCAACTAGGCGCGATCTTTTTCAATAATTTCACGCCATACTCTTTGTTTTAGGTCCTATCCAATATACTATCGTATATAGAATTTTTTTTTTATTATGATACAGTTTTTTATTGCCTTACATGCCCCCAAGTCTTCAATATTAATAAAAATGTTCTCCATAAGCAGCCATGATCCGCGTATTTTCAATGGGAGAAATCGCTGATTGGTTGTTAGCTATTTGGCCGCTTGGGCGCTGCACAAGGCTAACGCCTGATCGAGGTGTTAGCTTTTCCCTCTGTGTCATGCGCACAACTCAAAAGCAGCGTCTGCGCATACAGAATAGCTAGCGCGTTAGTTATTCCTTGCAGAGACCTGTAGTGGTCTAAATGGGGTAGTACTTTGCCTTTGATGAGTCTGATTTGGGATGGACCATCAATAAATACATATACCTATTATAAAATCTAATTTATTATCAAGGTTCACCTTCTCATAATGATTAAAAAACTTCACTTTATTGATACTGTCAACTCATTTTTTCCTCATATCTAGTTGTAACTATGGAAATGTCTACATTATGTAGGGATACTGTATGTGATAATCTTTCTTACTGCTAACATGACCATCTTCAGTTTTGAAATACAGTACTGTACTGTATATAATTTCCCTAACTAACTTAATATGATAAGCACATTTTCATATGACTAAGAGAATAGTGGCTGGCAGGTCATTAAGGATACAAATTTACAACAAACCCTGCAGCATATCAACTATTACACAAGCACATGAGTCATTAGTGATCTTATTACAGTTCAGACCTTACAGTAAAACCTTCATGAAAGTCCAGTGTTATCTGATAGGCTGATTGATCATAGTGCTTTGTGAGGGATTATTGTTCATATTCACATAAATTTTTGGAACAGCAAATTGAAACTACCCGGTAGGTACCTGTACCTCTAGTACAAGTAAATATTGTACATTGGCTTTCAGACTAAATAATTCCTTCTTTTTTTTTACCATTTAATGATTAAACATGATGCGACTGTGGGAGAAAATTACCCAGGTACAGTACAAGTTATCCTCCTGTCATAAAATAACTATTCCTTTTTATTTCACACTTGTCATCGGCTATCTTTTAGGTACAATAACTAGAAGCAAAGGCAACAAACCCTTCCCTTATTTACTGTCTCTCTAGTTGCTTTGACAAATGTGTTCTTCAATGGTGTTTTGCTTCTACAATAAGCCCACAAGACATCCATCTGGTACATCCACCAACTTCACACACCTTATTTGTACTAATGCTGTATTTTTTCCTTTTCTTCACAGGCCTTAGTAGAAGCTGGGGTGATGGCAGGTCTAGACATGACCCCAGAGGCAGCCCTCACCAAACTCAGCTATATCCTAGCTAAAAGGGATTGGAACTTTGAAACCAAAAAGAAGGTTTGTATGCCTCAAAAAGTCAGGAGAATATTTGCCGGTTTAGTTGTTGGCCTCAGATATGATAGTTATTATTGATAACAGTTGATCTTTTCAGTTTATTGTTTTATTCAACTTCGATTGATGATCAGATAATTGTTACAGTTCTTAAACAGCTTTTGTCCACAGTCTCCTCCCCTCATTTGAAAATGGATAAATTTGATAGAATTTTAATACTACTGTACTATTACCCACCATCACACAACTAATTTATGTTGTATTTATAATAAAACACAAATTGTAATCCTATTAAGCATCAATAGATGGAGATGATTATACTGACTTCTAGAGATGCTGTGTACAGTACTGTACTGTAATGTGTATTTTCTTAGTTATGGTATATACCAATCTCAAATGATGGTGCATACAATGTAGTTCTTGATGGCAGATGATGACAAAGAACCTGCGGGGGGAGATGACAGCGGTGAATCAGGAGGATGAAGGTGAATCTCGTGAACTAGACATTGTTAGTTCCATCGCTCGTGCTCTTCAACTGTCCTCCAGTGATGATGTGGAGCATGTCAAGGAGCTTCTGATTCCCACAATGTTTTTCTCTGCAATTGCGAATGCAGATATTTCTCGCTTGGAAGAGATATATCAAAATGTAAGCACAGGGTCACATTAGTTATTATAGTTGTACAGGACCTGAAATTGATTGTTATTTGCAGTTCCTTTATGTCCTTGTAGTAAATATAAATTATACGTACATGATAATTCACTGAATTTTGGGAAGCTGAAGAGAGTATCATTTTGGGAGTATACTGGGTACAGTATTTCATATGTACGTATTTGAGAATAGTCTCAGTAATATTTCATCAGATCGAGCTTTTCCCTAATGTAATACCAGGATGTTCATGTTTCCTGCTCCAGACAGCTATTTCGGTAAGCCCAGTTTGTTTAATAGTTGTACTGCACACAGTTTCTTCTTTTTTACTTTTGCATGAACCCCACAGCTGAAGCAGACAGTGATTGTGGTTTCTATACACATACAGGTACATCTGCTTCTCAAATAGAAAAATCCTATTACTGTTTATGTTTAGAGCTTTGAGATATATTAATGGGACACTATGTTTCAAGCTTCTGCTTGCTTTGTGTTTTAACTGAATGTTTGAAATCAAATTTATGGTGTAATTGTTTTATTTTATTATTTATGACAGGATTACAAAATGTTAAATTTCTCCTTGGCCTTGAAAAATATAGGCTTTCTCCTGTGAAGATGGAGCCCATGAAATTTTTATAAACTGTTTAATCTTGGTGTGACAGGGAATAGTATGTTTTAATGGTATTAAGAGAAAACATATAAATTTCTTGCTATGTAGCTAGCAGCAAAGCTGCTCCTGTTGCTTTTTGTAGCAGTGGTAAAGAGTGTATTGCCAAGCCAAGATCTTTTTTTAGTCAGCCTGGCCCTTGCTGCTACACCCATTTTAATTCTGACTCGTCATGCCTTCTATTGGGAGCAACTGTTTGCAAACTGCAATTACCATCTTGTCTGACAACTGTTGCTGAAGATTAAATGTAATATCATATACTAATCCTCTGCTTCTGTTATTGTTATCATTATTTGTTATTTCTTTGACCTGTACCGGTAGCCATGAGAAGTGTAGGGATCAATTTTAATGGTAGTGGGAGGAGGATGAGGAGCAGTACAGTATATAATAGTGGGCAAATTGTCTGAAGAATTATTATGAGATTACCAGAAGTATGCAAAGAAAAGGAGTGGCTAGAATCATTTTTGGAATGATTCACAATTTTTTTTCCATTATTATAGGAGAGGGGGGGGGGAATATTTAGGATTAAAGTTCTCAAAAGCTGATCTGCAAGAATTAGAGATCTGTTCACAAAAAATGTGTATATTGACAGCCTTAACTCTCATTTATTTTAAATATGTACAAAGACTTCATGATAGCACTTCATCTTACAGTGTATTAAGATTAGCACACCAAAATTGTATATTTGAAAATGTCAGTTATATGATGCAGAGTACTGTCAGACTAAACCTTATTTTGCAATCATCTTTGACCTTGTGTCACTTACTGCAGGGCATCGAAATCAACCTTCAGGATGCATCTGGCTGGACTGCTCTTCACATGGCATGTAATGAGGGAATCTTGGAAATAGTGGTGTGGCTACTTCAACACGGTGCCTCAGTACACATCAGGGATAAGTTAGGGCGTTCTCCCCTCAGTGTAGCCATCGAGAATGATCACCACAAGGTACAGTACAGTGCAAAGATTTGCCATTAATGTATAAATTCTAAAGTAAGGTTGGAAGTTGAGATCAAGAGAATTGTACTGTTCTTGGGAGATGTTATGTTCTTGTAATGATAACTATTATTGCAAAGATTTCCAGTGTATATTAGATTATGGAAGGGTTGCAGTGTAGGTTCTGTACTGATCTTAAACTAATGAAAATCACATATAAAAGACTGAACAGTTGTTTTTAATGAAATATATTGTTTTGTAGCAATAAGATCTAAACTGTCATTATGATCCACTGTTCATATGGAGTTGATCACTACCTCCCCTGGCAGATAATTGAGCTGCTGGTTAAAACAGGAGCACATGTAATTGAGTCTCCAGTAAGACTTGGGGATGTCCTTGTGGCAGCAGCAGCAGCAGGCAATTCAAAGAGACTCCTGACGTATCATCTGGCTGATGTTGACCTCTCTTACAGTGATCCCTGTGGCCGTTCTGCTCTACATGCTGTAAGGACTTTTTCTTTTTCTGCTTGAGAATTTTTAAGCCTAGTTTTGGTTTACTGGCCACTCATAAACTGTGTTACAAATCTTGCAGAGAATTAAATCTCTCCATGAGCTTGTACTCAAGAAACTCTAAGTGGTAGCTACTATACACTTAACACCAGCATATTACGCTGAGTAAATGAATACCGGTAGATGCAGAAATTTGTGTTCATTAGTAATCTCATAGAGGTTATCATCCTTCCCCTCTCTCTCACTACAGTACTGTATTTAGATCATAATGTTACAGAAATGGCTGGAACAAAATATTATTGATGTCATTGTTGCTGTAATATTCCTCATCTTTTTATTACTGTATATCATTTTACTACTTACCAGCTTACTAGCCATTCAAGCAATTGATCTATCAGTGTTGGTACTGTACAGGAGGTAACTGGAGTCTGGGAAACCTGTGATGTTTGATATGGTCACACTGGATAACACCCTTCTCGTGTGTGTGTGTGTGTGGGGCAAGCAAGACTTGAACCCTTGACATATTGATGAAAGTTACACACGCTACCACTGTACCACCAACACCCCAGCTTTGTGGGAATTAGCTTAAAGGATATACTGTAAAGTAAAATTTCATTATTTTCTTCATACATTAGCTTCTTTTATCAATCCACTTGTCTATTTATGTATCTATCTCAAATTTGCTCTTTATCTGGTTTGTGGAATGAAATTCTCCTTATTTTATCCTTTTCATCACAGGTCTGGCATTTTTAAAAGTTCATATTTCTCCCCTCCAGGCATGCACTGTGGGATCTGAAGAGTGTGTGCAAGTGTTGCTGGATGCTGATGTACCTACTGATGTGCGGGACCGAACTGACCTAACGGCAGTCATGTGTGCCCAGATCAACAACAACCAGCACCTGGTGGACCTTATAGCTACCCATGAGGAGAGGATTGGTGCGATTAGTCGGTAGTTTAGTATGCATTTAGTCAAGATCATAGCTTAACTTGTAGCTGTTGTTAGCTTAACTTGTAGATATTATTAGTTTAACTTGTAAATATTGTATGTACAGTGCTGTAGACTGATAGAGAATGCTTAATGCAACACATTTGTATGTTTGGGTTAAGTCCTCAGTAGTTGTCTTGTGATTTCTTATGGTAATTGGTATTGTTAGCAGTATAGTATTGGGTTTATGTGTGCACTTACTGGACAATACTTGTATTTTTATAGATACTTAAGGTGCCAAAGAGCAGTGCTTACTGAATGTACAAATATTATGAGCATATTAAAACTGTACAATATGAATTTCTACAAAATTTTACAGAAAGAATGCAATCCTTGTACATAATAGTATAAAAATTAAGTTTCTATCTAAGTTACATGTATTGGTGATGCACAGAAAGCCTTATATTTATTTCAAATTGTGAACATTGTAATGGCAGATACCGTAATTTTTTCTCTACTTTTAAGTACAGTATACAGGTAGTACAGTAAATATCAAATGTTACTTAATACTTGTATTTTTTTTAGATGCATCATGATTTTAGTAAACTGTGCTGTAGGTTATTTGAGATTATATATAATCAATGAATGGACTCTATACATAGTGTAAAAATTCATCCCTATCTTCTTCCTTTTGCGTGCTGTACTTTAACAATTTCCCTCTCAGTGTTCTGTAGTTCCTCAGCCTTTTCACTCATCAAGATGCTGTCATTCCCATGCAATATCATCTACTCTGTCTAACAGTTACTTCCTCTATTTTGGTTGTCAAGAATCTCTTAATATTCCATCATTGAATATACATACTAAACAGTCAAGCTGACAGAACATATCCCAGTTTACTTGCTGGTTGGATAGTTGGTCTGCTCTCTGTTATGCACTGTTGGAAGTACAGTATACTGGGCATGTACAGTATAGGTTCGTGAATGTACCTGAACTTGTGCTAGTGTTGCTCAAGTCTGGTCTTAAATGGGCTCACACTCAGTGTTGTCATACCATTCTCCATCAGGTTATTCCAAGAGTTCTCAATTTGTATCTTCAGCTTCAATCCAAAATTATTCACCACTTCTTCAACTTCTCCCAAGCCATGTCCTGCACTTTTAGTAGAGGAGGCCCTGCAGTGTCCGAGAGCCTCCCTCACCTGCTGTGTACTCTTTATATATATCAGAGCCTTTTTTCACAGGCCTGATATATGCATTCTCCCTATCCTTGAGGTCACAGCTCTAGGTTCATGAAGCCACAAGTCCAGAAAATTGTGTGGGCAAACTTTTTGGTGTGAGAACTGTAAATTCTCGGAGCAACCTGCCGGAGTACCGAGTGTGAGGTCTTTTAAGACTAGACTTGACCAACAGTGGCACAGGTTCAGTTACAACAGAGGGAGGCATGTGATTAGACCCAACAATTTATTTGTTTGTTATGTTTTTAGTTGTTTATCCAATTGTTTGTTTTGGTGTGTTCAAGTGATTGTCTAGGTACAGTATTCTGTTTTTCTGTTCATCTGTAAATAGTTACCATGTAATACTGGCTGAATCAGTTTTTTTTTACATTAAGTATAAGTCACATGCTTATGATCTCATTTTTTGCAATTATCGGCATCATTACTATGAGAGCCATACATCCTTGCCCCTTCATAAGGCTGACTTGTTCAGCTCTCTTTATTATTATAATGACTTATTTTGGTTGCTTATGATCATTTTGACAAAATGCATCAGGCCTGTGTATCCAAATTTTACATACCGTACTCAAATAATTTACTTAATGGCGATTGCAAGTGGTGGTCACATGAGGGAAACAGACTGGTGGTGTATGTATGATCTCCCCATTGTTCATGTTAGTCATGTTCAGGGCTATTTTAAAGCCCATTACATTGCTGTCCTTGCTTCCATGGCTTCTGTTGGTAGATTTTCCACATGTCTACCATCTTGTGTGTGAAAAAGTTCTTCATTGCATTTACTCAGCAAGACACCTTTGTGAACTTGAAGTAATGTCCTATTGTGTTTTTAGCTTCATCTATTTTTATACCATACTCAATACTTTTTAATCTTCCTCTTCTTTATAATGTATTTCATTGCCACCAACAGTGCAAAAATCCCTCTATTTTTTCCGACCTTAATAACATTCCCCATCTAAAGATAACTGTTGCATCTACCCAGTGTCTAGCCACCTGCCCACATTTCAGGCTGTCCCATATTTAGCATTCATTGCAAAGGTGACAACACAATTTAGGAAAAGATGATAGTGGTAGGTATGTACTATGTAATTATTTATCTAAAAAAAAATGAGGTGATATTCATAATAGATGGTAATTGATTTTCCATTTTCTTCCCCACACCAGGATAATGAGGGTAAACTTAACATTATTTTTTTGCTTTCATTCTTATTGCACTCTTATTTTTTATATGATGTTGCTTGTGGGTCCAATTTATCATCCCAAGATGCTGACTTTCACAGCTTTTTCATTATACATCTTTGCATTATTAATTTCTGCTAATGCTAAATACTGTACTGCATTCCCACTTACCCTTCTCAAGGTGTAGCACTTTTAACTCTCCCTGACTATTTATGTTGATCACTCACTACACTACACTAGAGGGTTTTGTTATCTTAATACAGTGTTACTTATGATAAAGTCTACTGGCTGGACCTTGAGGGCTAAGTCTGGCAATATGTAGAAGGCAGGTTAGACTAACAAGCTAGTACTGTGCTTCAAGTGAATACTTCAAATAATAGGTGCAGGTTCTTCTGGTCCTCAGCTTAACCAAACCTAACCACTAGGATTGGGGCTTATTGAGATTGGGTCCCCTTAGGACAGGAGTCCATTAGAATTGGACCCCAATCCTAATGGTGAGGTTACCTGCTGCACTTACGCTATGAAACTTGCATTAATTAGAAGTACTGTACTTTTTATAGTATGTGGTCTGTGCACTCCATCCTCTTGATTTTTATTTTATATTGTATGGTTCTGACTTTATTGTCATTTAATACATGATCCTTACTTAATACAGTTTTATGTTTTCTTAGCCCTCTGTTACTGCCACATATACTTTAGGTGTCCGATAATTTGCAGAAAATGCTTATTGAATGTTCCTACATTAATGATCAGTCATTACTGTATATGTGATGGGCTTTAGAGTACACAGCACAGCATGAGGAAGATCAAGCTTTAGTGTGTTTGTTTGCATGCTCTGTATTAAAGTATTGTTTAAGTAGTTCTTGGCACCAGTACAGTATCTGAATATTTTTGTCAGTTTGAAAGGAAAATTGAATTGGTGTGGTTGCTTTAAGATTGATGATCACATCTGAGTTTGCTTGATAATTCTTCATTTTTGATACAGTTATGTAGAAAAAAATATACTGTCACCTTTTAAAGCTTTTCTTCTGTATACTGCAATACTCGTATACTGTACATGATACTACAGTTAAGGGGGATGAGTTCTCTGCATATTCTTTTATTTTAAAGTGAAACTAGTTATTTTTGAATGAGGTGTCTTCTGTAAGTAATTTTTACCTCAAAATATTTCTCTGTATACTTGTACTGTAGTTTAAGTTAATTTGTTTTGATTTTGGTTTTAGTCCTAAGAGAACTATGAGAATCAGTGTTTGTAGTGTAGGCAGGAGGAGAGAGAATCCTTACCTTGAAGACCGATCTACTGTATGTCCCTATTTTGAAGTGTTTGGGGATGAAGACAAATGGTATTCACTGTTCACATGCATGATCTTTGGATTTATTTTTATTTTATTTTTACTTTTACTTTGTTTTATTTTTATCCTCTTCGCCACTGATCGGCTCGTTAGCCGCTTGGGCGATCGGTCATGTCTCTGTCATGCACTGTTGGCAAATACTGGGTATGCACCGGCTCCTGAATGTGCCTGAACCCGCTCCAGTGTTGGTCAAGTCTCGTCTTGAAAGAGCTTGCACTCGGTGCCGTCACAACACTCTCTGGTAGATTGTTCCAAGAGTTTACAACCATCACTCTAAAAAGTTTGCCCTCACAGTTTTCTGGACTTGCGGCTTCTTCAATCTTGAGCTGTGACCCCTTGTAATATTTATTTATTAGAGTGGGTATTTTTACTTTATTATCTCCGCCACTGATTGGTTCATTAGCCACTTGGGTTTTTGTCATATTTCCAGTTAGCTTTTTACAGGGGTCTACAGCTGTTTCTAATTTTTATAATGAAAATAGAAAAATTCAAACATTTATATTAGTCAGGAGCCATCAAACTCTCCAAATTGTTGAGTTGTCTATGATACACCATGGAGAAACTCATAAAAAATTATTGTATTTTTAAATTGGAAATTGTGAGGTCTGTACAACACTTTCCATTACTATTGCTCTGTTGGGTTGTTGTTTGTGTTTTAACAACTCAGAACCAACAGAGTCTAAGCAATAGACCGTATGAACGGGTGAGTGGCAGGATGTTGAAGAAGAGTGAAGCTTGATGCCTTGTGTTTGGTTGAGTGGGCTCAGAATATACTGGCTTATCTTGGGGTTTTAACTCGATTTCCCTAACACCTCACTGGCTCTTAAAATAATCACCAGACAAGGTTTTCAGAGCAATAATGAATTGTCCACCTGAATATTGTGTCCTGCCACTAAACTGTTGGAGTCCTTTAGCAGTGAGTGGCTCTGCTAGTGGATTACATACAGTATTATTTAAAAATTGTTGAAGATTTGGTAATTTTAGTGTTATTGGTTAAGTTTTTTCTTTGACAGTATACTGTATAGTATTGCTAGCCTGGGTCTTGAGTCAGGTACAGTATAACAGTTATCCTGTATAACACCAATATTTCAGGTAAATGGTTTACTTATATTTTATGGTTCTTATTGGTGCAAGTGCTTCATTACAGTACTTTTTATACTCAATAATACAAGACATGGAGGAAAGTAATTCATAGGGCACTGAGGAGGTGAAGTTATGGAACAGTCAGCTCTTGGGGTAACTGATGCTATGGAATTAACTGATGTTCAATAATATCACTATTTTATAATGATTAGGGAAACCATAGAAAGTATGGTAATAAAGACTTGGAAGTGATGAGGTCATGGTGAGTAGTGAAATAATGAGCTATAATGGAAGTGGTGAAGATCTGGATGGTGGAGTAATGGTGGTAAACTATTACAACAATACAGTTCTGTATCTTAGAAGTACAGAGGTTAGTGATACTATTAATGTTTCAGGGAGGAATAAGAAACTGGTTTTATATGTCGTGAGTGCAGTATAGTCAAGAGGGACTGTGTGGTCATGGGGGAAGTCAGATTATCCTTCACCATGTTTTATATTTCTGGGTGTTGCTCTCTGTGTACAGTCATGGTTTGCTCTCTCTCTGTTTAGTCTTATAGTTTATAGGGTTTGTGAATTAATTGATAGATTTATTAGTTTATGAAATTGCTTGTTCTTAAAATTATGACTTGCTAACTACTTTACTGTATTTGCTTTTAATGTTGTTTAGATTTTCTGTTCCATGTGATATTAAGCCTCACTGAAGACTAATAAGGTAAGTTCCATATGATGTTACCCCCTTGTTTAAGGCTTTGGCGAGTCCCCTGTAAAGTCAACCTTGTTAGAAAGTACGAATATCTGTATCATCACCAGTAGTTGACTTATGACTTGTGTTACAGAGGAGGTGCGTCGCAGCATGAATTACAGCGGGATGGAGTTGCCGAGGGGTAAAGATGCCGCCTGCACCATCACTGGTGGTCCTTCATCACCACATGTAGATCTGCAACACTGTGTGTAACTCTACATTACCACTTGTGTTCTCCAGCAAATCGTGTCCACAAATTACTTAATGCTAAATGGAAACATTTACACAGCATTACTGTATTCTTTCATCAGCATCTGCAGATAATTGTTTTCAAGTCCTTTGAATCTCCATTTTCACATTATATTATCAGCTTCTTGAGTCAAAATACTCATTCTTCACCAGTTAAAGTTTCACCATACTGTATTACTGTTTTGTATTTGTACCTATGGACACTTACTTTATTTTGCTTTACTGCACTTTACTCGGTTGTATTATCATTGTCCATCATCAAATTTCCCATTATTTTTATATGATACAGAACTGTATTTTGCTCAGTTTAACTTCCTGAAGTTTAAGGTGGAATACAATACTGAGCTGAATATATATTGTTCTTTAAACACAATTTCCCACAGATGAAATTGCTTTCATTTATGATAAGTGGTGACTTTCATATAATACCTATTACTTGTACACATTCTTGTCTGTCAGTCTGTTATTCTAGCTACCTTACAATGAGTTTTATTTTAGGGTTTTTTAAACTTATTTCATATGAGTGAAGGCTTGGCCTCTGTTCATTCATCATTTTACTGTACAGTATTTACATAAAAACTATATTCTCCTGTTTATGATACTGCTGAATTACTTTGGTAGTCAGGGTGACACCGTTAGTCTTAACCTTATTTAAGCACCTGTTCATTGCAGCACCTAATAATTATGTTATACAGTATTGCACAAAAGCATCTGTGCTTTTAAGATAATATGATATAAATGTAACAATTGCTATCTCAGCAAAAATAGTTAAGTCGTGACATCCTGTTCTACCAGGTGATGGAGTTATGCCAAGCCTGAAGAAAGCAAATAGCCTTGTACTTATTTGTTAATGTTACCATGTGAGTTTGCTGTATACCCTATGATGTGCACTTGTTGAACTTCATGGTAAATCATGAAAACAATTTTTAAAGAATTCTAGTTTATATACTACAGTACATACATATGTGTAGTAGAAAGATTATCCTTCTCGGTCTTGTATAAATAAAGGGCTGCCCAGTGTGGCAGACATGAGCCATGGTGTACTTGGGTAGTGGCCAAACAAATACTTAATTTCTTGCCCTGTCACAGAGCAGTTTGGCTTTCACTTAATATGCAGTCAATACATTTATGTATTGCTTCAAAACTTTATATAAGTTTTCATTGATATATACTATACTTGCTTAGCAAACAATGACAACAAGTGAGAGTGACGCTATAATCTATAAGGCAGACAGCAGTTATCAGTTAATAAACCCGACCAAGTTTGTATGGATTAGGACCAAAGTGGCCATGTTCCTTCACAGAGCCTCCAGTCATCCAAGTTAAGCTGTGTGGAGCTCAAGCACTCGCAAGACTGTTAGTGATTATTGGTAGTCAAATCATGTGTGTATTGCAAATAATGTCAAGCTAGGGCAAATCTGTATATATTTTTCAGATAAAGAAAAGTGTCATGTATATTTCATGTTAAAATACAGTAGAAGCAATAAACTTCTAACTATGATTTATAATTATAGATAAACTTGATCTGTGATCTAGATACAATACTGTAATTGGGTCACTATGTCGAGTGATTCAAATGATTTTTATTACTTCACTGTGAATGTTTGATTTTATATATATATATATATATATATATATATATATATATATATATATATATATATATATATATATATATATATATATATATATATATATATATATATATATATATATATATATATATACACACACAGTTCTGTACTGTACAGTTGTTTGTAATTAACAGTTGTGACCTTTTGTTTTAACCTTCCTTGATATACGTACAGTACAGTACAGGTATAACCAAAATTAAGAACAGTATTGTACTTATATAATTTTAAACTCGTATGTTAGCACCAAAGATTATTTTGTGAGAAGTCCTTCAACAAAGACCAACTGTTCATAATTAGGGGTCAAGGAAAGTACTGATTTAGCTACAGGTGTGAGTGATTTAGTTAGGTAGGAGTATACAGTACTAAGCTACTGTATTGTTCTTTCCGTGAATGGTTGAGGTACTGGAAAGATTTATAGTATGTAGTCATTTACAGAATTAGTTGCTGTGATCTAGCATTGAGAAAAGAACCTCCCAAAATAACCTCAATGTGAAAACAAAAGGAACCAATTACTGTAGGACAAGCTGTGTAACAAAAACTAAAGCAATATAAAAGAAAAAGTCATGAGAGAAGAGAAGCCATATACTGTATCCACAACAAAACAAGAGAAGTTGCTGATAGTCCACAAGATGAGAAGTGAAGAAGCTGAAAACCCGAAAGAGAAAACCCCCAGAAACTAAGATGAAGAAGCTCTACAAAAACAGGTGTCTCTTGTGGCCTAATGAGTAAGACAAGGTGCTGTGGTTTTAAGGTTAGTTAATTACCCTTAATATGTGGAGGAAATTGCATCATTTTTACTCTCCCAAGTACTGTACCTTAAACCTTTGTGGATGGTGATTGTAACCTCTGGTCATAACTGCAGATTTCAGGTTATGTACAGATTCACTAGTCAGATCTAGAGGAAAGTCACCATATTCACTATTATCACTATCAATATGCATGGGAGGGTTATCCTCATTTCCTGAATAAAAAATATGGTATCGATTTCCTCCTTTGAGTGGACATTGTTCGGTGACACTGATGAACACATTTCTGGGATGCCTACACTGCCTTGGGACAGTTGACAGAAATTTTCACAAAGATGATTAACTAAAGTATAGCATGAAAAGTTTAAATTGGACTCGCAAAAAATGTATTACAATAGTTGTGTTTCTGGTAACAACGGGTTATGAAATCTGTTGCAAGTTTGACAAAGTAAATGACCAAGACAGGTTACCTACTGTTAATTATCAATCCTCAAAGCATTATATAGTAGTAGAAGAGGCTGTTAAACATACGAGGTGCGATCCAAAAGTTCCCGGACTGTCCGCTTGGAGCACTAAAAGGCCATAGTACGGACTCTGGTCGCTAGATGGAGCTAAACAGCTTTGTCGTGAAACAGTATTTCTAGTAACACGGTGGTACACGCTCCCGTTTTTTATTTTGTCACGCGTGTTTTTTGTGCTTTAGTGTTAGTGGTTTTCTGCGATTTTTATGAGAAGAGATGGTAGACTTGAAGGAGCAGCGTGTGTACATCAAGTTTTGCTTCAAACTCGGCAAAACCGCGTCAGAGACCTACAAAATGCCTAAACAAGCATTTGGTGATGACGCCATGGGCAGAAGTCAGTCATTCGAGTGGTTCTCACGGTTCAAATGTGGGGAAACGTCGGTTGAGGATAACCAACGTTCTAGTTGGCCCTCAACCAGCAGAACCCCACAAAAATGTTAAAAAAGTGAATCGGGCCATCCAAGAGGACCGTCGGTGATCGATTAATGACGTTTGCAGCATCGTTGGCCTATTGTATGGTTCATGCTAAAGCATTCTCACGGAGTAACTCGGCATGAGGTGGATTGCTGCCAAATTCATGCCCTGCTTGCTCACCCACGAACAGAGACAATGCTGGCTCACTGTGTGCAGGGACATCCCTGAACTTCCTTTCCAAGGTCATCACTGGTGATGAAAGCTGGTTTTATGGATACGACCCAGAAACCAAGCAGCAGTCATCCTAATGGAAGAGTCCACATTCACTGTGACCGAAGAAAGTGAGCCAACTCGAGAGCAATGTCAAGAGCACGCTGATCTTTTTCTTCAACATGGAAGGAATTGTTCACGAGGACTTCGTTCCTGTAGGTTCGATGATTAATCAGTACTTTTACATCAAGGTCCTGAGGCGTTTGAGGGAGGATGTGAGGAGGAAACGTCTGGACAAGTGACGAGCACAGAACTGGCTGCTGCATCATGACAATGCGCCGGCCCACACCGCTCTGTCTGTACAGCAGTTTCTGGCCAAAAACAACATGGCAGTGGTCCGCCCCCTCCCCCCCCCCCCGACCTAGCCCCCTGTGACTTCTTCCCGTTTCCTAAGATGAAGATTAAGCTGAAGGGGCGACAATTTGGTGACATCGAGGAGATTCAGGCGGAATGCACGACGTGCTTTAGAACATCCCCCAAACGGAGTTCCAGAGGTGCTTCCAGCAGTGGGAAAAAGCGATGGGCGCACTGCATCAACTCTCAAGGGGACAGCAGTGATTAGAACCAAAGGTAAGTCTACATCTTTTTATCGATACAGTCCGGGAACTTTTGGATCGCACCTCATATACGTGTTGTGTATGTTGTTTTAGTAAACAATGACAGCTGTGATAGGTTCATCCTCACCTGGCATTTGGTTGTGAGAGACTTCAAGCATAATCAGCTGTTATGTTTCATAATGTACAGTAGATTGTGCTTCAGCACTACCTGTTGTCTTGTGCTCTATTTTTTCAGTAGTAAATATAAAGTCATGCTATAAAGCTATATATTATGAACATTTATATTCATAACCGACTGTCTTTTTGTTCATGCAATTCTTTTGCATTACTGTATTTATATACTTTTATCAAAATTAAAGAGCTGTTGAGCCAAAACTATTTTAATGAATTAGATTACCTTTAAATCCTGTAATGTAAATATTGTATATCACTTCTTTTTTTATCCTTCTCCCACCACTGATCGGCTCGTTAGCCGCTTGGGCGATTGATCACGTCTCTGTTACGCACTGTTGGCAAGTACTGGGCATGCACCGGCTCCTGAATGTACCTGAACCTGCTCCAGTGTTGGTCAAGTCTGGTCTTGAAAGAGCTCACACTCGGTGCCATCACAACACTTTCTGGCAGATTGTTCCAAGAGTTCACAACTCACACTCCGAAAAGTTTGCCCACATAGTTTTCTGAACCTGCGGCTTCATCAATCATGAGCTGTGACCCCTTGTGGGGCGAGCATTCGCCAGCTCCAGGTAAGGACACTCGACTGAGTAGTGCCCCTTGAGATGCTTATACACCTCAATTAGGTCGCCCCTTGCCCATCTGTAGTATAAGCTAGGCAGATTCAGGCGCCCAAGTCTCAAAGGGTAGTTGAGGTGCCGAAGTGCAGGCACCAGTCTGGTGGCCCTCCTTTGAACATTTTCAACCAGCTGACAGTCCTTAGTATATCTCGGGGGCCAGACGGGGTGACAGTACTCCAGATAGGGAAGCACTTCGCTCTTGAAGATCGTTACGAGGGACGGACCGTCTAGATAAGTGAACGACCTTCTTATAAGACCTAATAATTTATTTGCCTGATTCACATACCATTCTGCAAGCTGAGGCATCACATTGTATTATCCTGCAAACATTCTTTTGAAAACAGAGAATACTGCACATGTACTGTACAATGAGATGGCCAGAATTCCATCTCTTATGTCTTAAGATCTTTGACTCATGTCAAAATGTGACTTATAAATCCTACACCTTGAGCCTGTGGGAGTTGTTGTGAGATATATTACTGTGCGATCTTCATTACCTTCTCACAAGCTGCCTTTTCTTGTTGTTATCCAGGAAGCAACAGGAGAGGTGAGTGATAGGAGACCATGTTGTCAAGAGGTTCATGGCGATATTGCATCAGTTAGAGTGAATGGCTGGAGCTTAGAGAAAGAAATATCTGCTTCTGGCTGTCCTGAATCATTGTGCCAATAGGCTTCCTTCCTAGGGTAAGAGAAGTATTGTTAATTTTCATATGTAATCTATTTTCCATGTGGAGCAAATCAACAATCTCAATGTTCACTGCATATTTACTGGTGTTCTATTGTCTCATTGGTGGGAGACTTAACACTAATTTTCTTGTTTTCTGGAAACAAAATACAATTGCAATTCAAAGTTATGTCATACAGTTCAATACTGAAATTTCTTAAGTGTATAAAATTTGAGTGTAATACTGTAAGTGAAAGTGGATTGCAAAGGGAGAGTGGATACAACACACTGTATGTATACTAAACTATACTTTTACTTTTATCCTCTTCACCACTGATCGGCTCGTTAGCCGAGGTGATCGGTCACGTCTTTGTTACTTTTCTTTCTTTGTCCTCTTCGCAAATGTACAAATGTTGCCCCACAACATAGAACTGAGTGAATAGTTGTGGCAAAATTTAAAGGG